GAGCACCTCTGCTCTGTCAGCCAACCAGTGGTTTCGTTGATCTTCCATAAAAGAGTAGCCTGTTTGGTTATTGCTAATGTCATCCCTGAGGGTGTCCCACTGTATCTCTGGTGGGCTCTCGCCTTCTCTCAGGAAGAGAAGCTTCGCCATCGTACGGGTCAGCTCCTCCGCTGCTATGCGGACCATCTCCCGCAGCTGCGTCATGGTGAAGGTAGTCCTCTCAAAGGTGACCTCCTCTTCTACCCACTGTATCTTGCCCTGGATCATGGTTGTCGTACGGATGGCCATACCATAGGCAAACGTGTCCAAGATCCAGCTCATTGGTGTTGGCTGACTTGTAGGTGTCAGGCAGGTCATGAACCGCGTCACCTGCTCTCGTACGAGGCTAAACACACCTGGTGCCTCTCTTTCTGCGTCTTCCTGTGACATCTTGCGTTCGACCCGGATCTTCTTGGCCGTCTGCTGATTGAGGAGATATGCGTTATAAATGACGAGAAGACGTATGATCTTGATCACTGCTGCATAGAATGGAGTATACTCGTACGGCATGAGCCAGTTGAGAGTACTTTTGCCTTGACTCTCGTCGTAAGACCCTTGGACGCCAAGGACTGCAAGGCCGCTGAGTACAGCACTCTCATACACGTTATCCTTCAACTGGTGGTCAAACAGAGATACTATAAGAGTAAGCAGAAGCCGGTCGGCCTTCTCGTACGACTGCTGCTCCCGATCTGGATTGTTCATCTGTTCTGACAGCTCAAAGGTAAAGTCATCATATGCGCCCTCCTGTTCCCTTGTCAGAGTATAGCCAGGTCTCTTCGCTGGCTCCCAGTCCTCTGTTGTCCGAATGATATAAGCTAGGATCCGCTGTACGACACGGATATATCGTACGAGAGTGTGCTTCTCCATGCGACTTTTGAATATCCTCCTCTTTTTTGTAGGGTCAGTGACACCGTTGATCTCAAAGAGTACCGTGTGCCCTACAACCGTAGCCCTAGCAATCCTCTTAGACGCTCGTACGACCCTATCGACTGACGCGTTGGCTAACATGACCATGTTCTCAGTCTCAGGAGTCGACAAATCGCCAGAGACCATACTGAGACTAGTGGTCTCAAGTAGTCTGGCGCGATCCCGTCCTTGGAGGTGGATTGCCCATTGCGTTCGCTGGAGCCAAAGGTTGGGCTCTTGCTTCTCGTCACCTGTCTCGATCTGGTCGGTCGTACGAGTGTGGATCTTCTTATATTGCTCCTGGCTGAAGGAAAGCACTCTCTTGAGGCCGGAGTCTGGAGAGTGAAGGCTCTCTTGAGTTGAGTGGGTAGAATCTCTGGGACTCGAACTCGCAACCTCAAACAGCTTACTGGCCGTACGACTGGAGAAGAGCTGCTGACAAAGGACCCCAGACCTCCACATAGTGGTAGCCTGCCTGCTGAGCCCTCTATATTTGGTCTTTCCTGACCAGCCGTGTGCCTTTCGACAGTGCGCCTTCATGTTCTTAAGCTGTCGTACGATATAGGAGCACTCTGTACAGGCAAGGCCGTCGAGAAACGGATCGCGCAGAAATGGGATCGCTGCATTGGTAGGGGATGGGAAGACAAAGGACTGCAGCTCTTGCTGGTCTCGTACGAGGCCGGGTATAGACCGTATATGTTCGTAGATGAGCTTTCGCGTCTTTGGCGATATCGTACGATGTTTATCGCGTAGGTGGGAGACTGCTTCATCTACTACTACTCCTATCTGACAAGCCTTACAGACTAGGACTTGGAGAGATGAGATGACGACAAATGGATCCATATCTCGTACGAACGAGATAAAGAGTAGATTAGATCGACTTTATAACTACTAAGATGAAAGGTTCTGGTTTTGATTCTCTAAGATGTAAAAATAGCGGTGTAAGCTAATATATGCTGACAGAATCGACTAGTGAGGGGTAAAGATATTAAGAGCAGTAGATAGGCTAGACTCGTACGATGTTTAAGATTT